AATAATAATAAATAACTTTTATAATGATTAAATGTTGAAATCTTGGTGATCCATCAATAATTCAGGGCAAATTATTGCCACACGCCCAGACATTTTTCAACCTCCACACATTTATTACATTTTATTACTTCGGTTTTATTATTTAATTATTTTATATTATATTTATTATTATTTTTATTATTATTTTTATTATCATCATCATCATCATCATCATTTTTTTATAGGCGTTCATTAATATAAGCACTATAATATTATTATTGAGTCATAGTAGAGTTATAGACTTGTATAATATACTAGTTTAAGCTAGTGTATATCCAAAAGGCTTTATGTTAGCATTGGGGCAAACATTCTAATAATACACACATACACACAGCTACACACACACAAAGAGAGAGAGAGAGAGAAACACACAGAGAGAGAGAGAGATAAACACACACACACATACATGTTTCCATAATTTGACATTTTAAAATGATATATCAAAGTTTTTCTATGTTCTGAACACTTGAATAACATAATTAGCTCTCCTAAATGTGTCGGCAAATGTCATAATACATCCACGTACATAGGCTTAGATATTTAAAACTGAAATTAGCAACCACGTAAAGACATACAAACTTTGTTTTATACACAACATGCAAATGAAAAAACAAATTTTTCAAACATTTAAACAAACGTACAACCATTTAGTGTACCTACGATGATAAACTGTTTAAAAAAAAATGAATGTACAAATAAATACACAACCATACTCTAACCCACAATAACAAAACGAACATTCACGCATTCACCTCAATGCCATTAATCTTTAGTAAGTAAAGAGAGAGAGAGAGAGAGAGAGAGAGAGAGAGAGTGAAAAAAGAGAGAAAGGGAGTGAAAGATAAATGAAGTAGAGTTATAAATAAATGAGTGGTTAAATTTAAGGACAAAAAGCGCAAACAAATTTTGTTCATTGATAAGAAAGAGTAAGAAAAATAAATTAACAGATGAGGAGGAATTGAAATGTAAGCGGAACTTCGAGAAAAGGGAGAGAACAAGAAGGAACAAGAAAGAGAGAGGGGGCGGGAGAGAAGGAGAGAATGAAAAAAGAAGAGTAGGCGAGTTGGATTGAAAAAGAAAGCAAGAGGGAGTGTAATTAGCACTAAAAAAGTAGAGTAGAAAAGAAATAAAAATAAGAGGGTAGAAAATATAATAAAGAAAGAGAAAGAAAGAGAAAGAAAGAGAAAGAAAGAGAGGGAACTGAAGGATTAAGAAATATGCTGATTGAGGATAATGAATAAAAAAGAGAGAGAAAAAAGTTAAGGATAGAAAGAGAGAGATAAAGAGATAAAAGAAAGACAGAGAGACACAGAGATACAAAAATAGGGAGAGGCAGAGAAGGGGACAGAGAGAGAGAGACAGAGTGAGAGAGAGAAAAACAGAAAGAAAAAAGGAAAGTTTAAAAGGATGAGATGGCTGCACGTTCTTCTGAAGATTAAAATGAATGATAATGAATGAGTGATGAGGACATGGGATAAGTGATAGTGAGTGAATGAATAAAAATTGGATTAATAAATAAACAAATAAATAATGAAAAATATATTAATTCTGGAAAATAAAATTGTTTAAATAAAGTATGCTGTCAAACTGATTATTAATTTGTTTTTTTTTGCTGGAACAAACTAGGTAAAAAAATTGAAAAATTGAACTTAATTTAAAAATAAATTAATCGAAATGTTTGAGACATTTTTAAATTCTTGCTACAAAAGGCTCTTGTGAAGAAAATAACTTAAATTAATTAATCAACAAACGAATAAACTTGACGTATGTATGACTGAAATTTTCATCTTGTTTTAAAATATCACTTGACTCCTAGAAAATTTTTTACCGTTGCTTAAATATTATCCGGTTAGAGATAATTATTGTATGAAAAATATGATTGTTATTAGGCAGTAAGTTTGAGACATGTCGTAAAATGTTTTTAAATAACAGGGACTAAAAAGACACATTTCAAAATTTTCAAAAAGGATTTCTTCTTTAGAAGTTATTGATTGTTGCACAGCTTCAACTTTTGTTTGAAACAGTCGAGGCCAGGCTTTGTAAGAAACTTATCATCTTCTTAAAATTAACTTCCCATTCTGTTTACAATTTTCTCCCTTTCAAAGAGTTTATCGTAACAAAACTTCTTGGATTAGAACTTCAATTGCGTAAATGTTTAAATTTTTAAAAAATAATTATTCTTTCATGTTTGTGAAAACGTTTTACTATGTTCAAAAATTTCAAAATTTGAACATTAGTTTTGAAAATATATTATAGTTAAAAAACGAATGTAAATTAATTAACTACATAATTAGACTGTTGGAGGATCGATTGGTTTTGATTGGTTAGACAGTTTAGTAGTTGGTTGGTTGATTGATTGGCCGGCTAGCTAGCTGGTTAATGGATTGATTAGTCAGTTAGTTGGTTGTATGGTTTGTTGTTTGATTAGATAGATGAAAAGATGGATGGATGATTGTTTGGTTTGTTGTTTGGTTATATGAATGAAAAGGTGAATGGATGAATGAGAAATGTGACGTCAGCATGAATTAATGATAACATTACTTATCTGTGTGGAAGTGACAAACAGATAAATCGTAAAGTACTACGAAGAAAGGAAATATAATTGATGGATAGTGGATGAATGGAAGGAGGAATGGAAAGATACGTGAATGAATATCTGAGTAGCTGGATAGTTAGTTGGTTGGATGAATAATAATTAGATGAATGCACAGATCAGTTGATAGAATAGTTTAACGCAGTTAAATATTTAAAAAATATATTAAATATATTTAAATATTTAAAATATTATTAGTTAAAATATTTAAAATAAAAACGTTAAAAAAATTAAGACACACAATTTTTTATTTTTTAATTTGAAAATTTTTTTCATTTTTTCAATGGAAACATGAAAAATTATAGTTGGATTTGGACTTACGATTGTATATTTCAATTTCAATTATTTCTAATTAATAAAAAAAACTGATCATATATTAAGAATTATAATTCAATTTATCAAATTCGTAATCTCCAAAATTATTTTCCTTTAGCTAATTCTTTAGTTTTACCCGAACAGAAATATTTTTCATTTCAGTTTTTAGAAAAAAAAGCCCTCTCCTTAGTGAGATTATGGGCCATAATTATCTCTTGCTAGATACAAATTCAATAAATATTTTTTTCTTGTAATTTTTGTCTACTGATTTCATTCTTCAGAATCATCTTCATGTGACCTGTGTGACGCATGAAATGATGAACTATTTCATTTCATATTATCATTTTAACATTTTGCATTCCAATGACAGTTATATTATACTTGATTTTCTCAATATATTGATGAACATTTTTAAAGTTTTTTTGAAAAGTTTAAAAGATTTAAAATTTTGAAATGTTGTTGTTGACGCAAAACGCTTTCAGTCGATTCCACAGTGCTGCATCCTTCGTCGTTTTACATAGGCGCCGTCAAAATTTCAAAATCGTAAATGGAAAAAAAACGCCGAATAACCAAAAAAAAATAAACAAAAACAACAAGACTATTAATTAGTAGCCTGAGACACGTTATTTTCATTCAACAAGAAAACATTTAAAAATCAGTGAAAAAAGTGAAATTGAAGAAAAATTCTCAAGAGAATGGGTAATTAGTAAGAAACTCAATCAGCTGCTTTCATGCTTTAATTGCTTTCATTGGTCCAACTTTATTCTCTAACAAAAAGTTTGTCTTCATTTATTTTAAGCCAGTAAGTAGAGGATTTTATAAACTTTATGTAATTGAAATTAAGAAACGTAATTATAGTGGGCTACTTGATAGCCTATGAACATTATCTTCCTTTCGAATCGTTGCAGAGGTGCATTCTTAGCCCCAAATACAATTGAAAACAAAGTATTTTGAAACTCTCAACAAAATTTTAAACTAAATTACTCTAATTAAACTCTAAACTAAATTTTGTCTAGCAAAATATATAACAAATATACACGGTTCTCGCCAATAACACATGAACATCCGCATACAACATTTCAAAAATATACACACATTACATTCTGTGAATAGACATACAAAAACATACTAGACTTACAAAAACATACAAACATATAGACACAACAGAAATGAGTTTATAAAATTTTCTTATTATACATTCAATAAATCACTGAATCAATATGCATTGTATATTTTATATCTCCAACGCTGTCAGATGAAAAAGAGTTTTTTCATAAAATATTTCATCTAGACATAAATCATCGGCGTTATTTAAAGATGCTTTTGAATTTTAGTGAAGAAGGTTTCAGCTTGATGTGTTTATAATTAAGAAGGTTGAAAAATAATTCATCATCATCTCAGATCTGAAAAACCTTTTTTCAATCTTTTTTCTAAATTTAAATTCAGGATTTAGAAAACAATAAATAAAACCTAACCAAACATAAATGAATAAATAAATAATAAAAAAAACAATTAATGGGCACTAATTTCATTTTTAAAATCAAAGATTATTTGAACAGTAATAAACATTTCAGCCAGAAAACAATAGCAGCCAAACGAACAGATGTGAAAGAAATAGAGCAATGAAAGGTAAGCAATGAAAATGGGAGGTTTGTCAAGCAGCCAGAAAGTTGATTATATAGATTCCCTTCTCGCTTAAAACTAAACCAACAATATTTTAATCGGAAAATTGTGAAAAAACTGGCATTAGTGACATTTTTTGATAAAAACTTTTAAATAGAAAGTGTAAAATTGCAAGGCTAAACAAACAAATACTCGTACATACGGAGGAATGATGAACATGAATGACAAAAAGAACGTAGTATTTAGGCTTGTAATTGCGGAAAATATAATCACAAACCAGATACCCAAG